AGATCTTCACTGCAAGCTAAATGCTACATTATATCGATTTGATGAAATGCTTAGGATATATGACAGTCTAAAGCTAGCATTGTGTAAATTTCCAAGCAGAAACGTTAAAAACAAATCAAATATTTCCTGATTCAAGAAATGTAGTAGACTAAACAATTACATCAAAAAGAAGTTTAAGTTTAAAGACATAAATGAGTTTCTGACTGCGACACACATCCAGACAGCCGAGATGTTGCTTTTGCATGGCTCTGGCCAGGAAGTATATATATCTGTATCTGAAGCATGATCTTTGACACGGTTGACGACTGCAGCAGAACAGGATGTGGTCTAGAAACAGACAGGGCGTGACTGACTGGCTGTGAATGTGTGTGTTCCTCGTTTCCTCCCTCACTGTCTGAGGCTGAATGAAAAGCACCCAAATAAAGGCTGTTTACTTCCTCCTGAGAGAAGAGAAGGAGCTGCCTTACTCAGTCCTCCTCTGCTGCCCACCGCCATACCTCTCCCTCTCGCTCCCCTCCTCCTGAATGCCAGGCTGATGAATGGCTCAGAGGGGGGAGGAGGAGGAAGATGAAGAGGGAGGATGGGTGGCACAGTTATGTTCTGAGAACCCCTCTGTTTCTGTCCCATGGGCGAGATTGTGGCGAGCTCGCCTGGGGTTTGTTTCCGTTTTCATAAACCACCGCTGATGCCCGGGTTTCAGCAGATGGGAGGACAATTGGACCCAACAGTGTTTATGTTTCAGGGCACAATAGGGGATTTTAAATAGATTTTAATAACACACACACACACAAGGCCTACTGCTCTGAGATGAAAGGTCAGACCAAAGCGTGCACACTTCTTTATTGTGCCCTAGATAAGATTTTCCATTTGGCTCGTTGAGACGGTTTGTGTGTTTATAAGTTTGACAGTGTTATCGTTATAGTAGCATAGTCTCTGAAGTATCGGCTCATGCTACCAGCTAAAAGGAGCAGCGCGCACATACCGAGACAAACTTGTTTAGGACTGGAACTGTTGTCATCAGTTAAACTGCAGATTCATATCTCTGTTTATATTTGTTCTCTATAACACAAAGCAAAAGGTGACGTCTTTTAAATGTTTTGTTGACCAACAGTACGGTTTACAATGAAATACAAGGAAATTAGTTTTGATTCATGCATTGTTTGCTTTTTAAATGGTCATGTCCAACTTTTGATTTTTAGGGAATATGAGGAAGGTCGTATTTTTTAAATTCCTCTCCTGAATAAATATCCTGTCCATTTGCTCCAACCTCCCTGCTCCGTGCATCGCTGAAGTGTGTACATCCTGTGAGGGGGGATGAGCCTTGAATGTCTTTTATTATGTATGTATGGAGACAGCATGTGTATTTATAGCCTGTAACTTTGTGTGTGTGTGCGTGATATACACTAAGACGGCAGTCATCTGTGTGTCCATATGACTGGAGTAGGGAGGAGGAGAGATCGACCTCAGACTTGTTTGCACTCATATGTGTCAGCCTGTGTGTTTGTGTCGGTTTATTTTCTTTAGATTGGAAACATATGAATTACACCAAAGGAGAAACAAATCCCGATTCCATTTGTTGTCTTTGGTCACTAGCAATAACTGGCAACGGCGGAAAAATATTTACTTCCTTTAGTACAAAGAAATGTGCTATTCACTTTTCTTTTCAAATATTTTATTTATTAGAGGCATTTGTGAAAGAAGCTTTACATTCTTACAGAATAAGAAACTGTTTCAATTAGGACACTGTTTTCACAAAAATGGTGTCAAATAAAAACAGAGAAAAAGGAAGACCGAGAAAACGGAAATAGACAATAATTCGTTTTTTTTAAATAACCAGCTACAGTGGGATTTTCAGTCAACAGGCTTAAACCTGTGGTTTAAAGCGGCTTCTTAGACCTGATTTCTGTTGCAGACACGGGAAAACTTTGGAGAATATTTCATTTAGTTTAGATTTTAAATAGTATAGCCATGACACTGAATATCAGCCACCATTTTAAATGCCCTTTTGCAGTTAACATCCAGCCAAAAGAGGCAACAAGTATTCCTGGTGTAAACACGGCGTTAGTGCTTTGCAGTGGGAAGCACAGATGGAGCTCACGGTGGAAACACACGGCTGCAGCTGAAGTGCATTTACTCTCCTCCGTCTGCGTTTGCCAGACTTTGTATGGTAATGTACGATCATGCACGTCTGCGGAGTAGAGTGGTGTCTGTTGTTGTTGGGTTTACCAGCACTCAGGCGACTAAAAAGCACACAAAAACTATTTCTGCTCCATTAATGTGTCTGCTGCAGAAATGTCACATGTACTAAACTGGGCTCTGGAAATGGGTCTTTTTAAAAGTTCACATGGTTGTGTGTGTCTAGAGCAGTGTGTTTGATCTGGTTAGTGGTTGTATGAACTGTGTGTGTGTGTGGCTGCAGCGGCAGGCAGACTGCCGGTGATTAGGAACAACAGGGCAGAGTTCAGCTGAGCGAGTGTGTGGAATGCTAATCCACATTGTCATAAGGCGAGCTTCAGCCTGACAAAGGGTTGGAGACGGGGGGGGGGGGGGGGGGGTTAGGGGCTGTTTGTGTGTGTGTCGCAGAAGCGGATAAATAGAGGCGCTTAATTATTGTAGATTAAGTAGTAGTGGTGTGTGTGTGTGTGTGTGTGTGTGTTAATAAAACAGGCAAGGTGGAAGGGACAAGCGATGGGGGGGGGACAGCTGTGTTGAAATGTGCAAACGTTTGCACCATACACATTCATTAAGGAATAGAGCAGCAGGAATAATGAGTGTGTGTGTGGGCGGTGGGCGTTAAGCTGTCAACTGTCAGGTAAGCTGGATATACAGGGAGAGAAAAGCAACCATTAGTGGAACACACATATATGTGGATACACATACTCTTACAAACATACACTCTTTTGTTGTTTTTTGCACACACACAAAAACACACGCACACACACGCACTTACCTTTTAATGAGCTGTCAGTGGTCTCATCAGCAGAGCGTCTGCTGTCGTGGGGGTCATGCAGATGAAAGACCCCTGGATGACCTGCTGTTAATGTCGGTTTGGCCCCATTGCTCTACCCCTCGGTCTGTGTTTCTCGTACACACATTTGTGCAGGGGGGGAAGACGTGACAGGGGTATGTAGGAGAGAGTGCCTTCCACACACACACACACACACACACACACACACACACACACACACACACACACACACACACACACACACACACACACACACACACACACACACACACACACAACACACCTACACACACACACACACACACACACACACCACACACACACACACACACACACACACACACACACACACAACCTTCAAGCCAGCAACGACCAGGCTTGCCTTCACACCACTGCAGTGGGTTTATTGTTGTTTCTGTCAATTCTCCTCCCTCCTTTCCTCTATCTATGCTCATGTCCCATCATCCCACACTCTCTCTCCTTCTCTCTCTCTCTTTGCCCCTCCTTCACTCCCTCCCTCCCTCCCTCCTTCCTTTCAGTGCTGCAGTGCTGCCTTCTGAAAAAAAAAGAGGAAAAAACACCAACCACAAGTGCTCGTAAACGGACGAGCCCCCTCTATACACACACACACAGACACACACCTGGCTACGCATATGGCGCCAGGCTATTACATTTGCATGCACATGCTCGTTCATCCATGGGCTTTGTAAATAAGGGACTATCCTCCACATACAGTACACATGAATTCACACACACAAACACGTTTACTGGGACTAGCAGTGATGTTTTTCTTTCTTGTTGACTCACATTAGAGAAGCGAGCATCTGTGAATATTTGGTTCAGATAAAATAATGAATAAGATATACATTATAAGACACAGCAAGAGAATCATTATGATTGTTGAATGATATATTGACTGTAGCTGCTGCCAGGCGAGTGACTAATATAAATATTTGGTGGATAATGACTGTGACATGGTAATCGTGCCGATAACGTGCATGGTAAAAGTATATCTGAAGGAAGGCTGTCTGTTTATTATTCACTGTGTCCTACTTTATATATATATATATATATATGTATATGTCAGTTTGAGAATAAACGTCTATAGATGGCTTTAAGAGGCTAGTTAGTCAATTATTGATGAATTCTACGACCACTATCTCTCCTCCTTCCTACTGCTCTGCACTTGCACTTTTCTCCCCATTGAATTCTCTTGTTTCCTGTTTCTCCTCCTCCTTCCTTTTCTCCACTCTCACACCTCCCTTCTCCATCTCTCGGTCTGTTGCTGTGGGTGAACTGCCGGTGCATATTGCGATGCTGCAAAGTCTTGGTCCTCTGGTGCGTGTGCCCGCGCGTGTGTGTGTACTGCAGGCAGTCTGTGTGTAGTGTCAGGCCTGTCTGCCGCTGATAAGCATCAACTCCATCAGCTTGTGGCCTCTTGCTGAGTGTGTCCTGGATTTGGTCAAAAGACACACACTCACGAGAGGCAGCGCCAGCAGTATTTACTGAACACAAACGGCTCAGAGGGCACAGGGCTGACACAATGAATCATAAACATTCAACACACAAATATGTATTCGCATTGAGAGAAAGGATGACTCCAACCGTGTTACATGTATACAAATGAATCACACGCACAGAGGCACATAATGACAGGCCTTGTTGTATCCGTGTTGACTATCATCTTGTTTTATTCATACGCCTTCCTCAGCGGGCCCATTCAGCCACTACTCTTATCCATTTTTATGCTGCCTTCATTTTCTCTGATGCTGTATCAATGCAGACTCGGGCCGTAGCTCACTCTTGCTGCGCACTTTCAATGCCATTCATCTCCATTTTCTTTCTCTTGGATGTCATTTGTCTCCATCTTACCCCTCGGTGACCGCGGTTGTCATTTTTGTTTTCCTCACCACTTTTGTCCCCTCGTTCCCACGGTGTCTGACAGAGACAGTGCACCATTTTAATTGTTCACTGTAACAAATACAATCTATCTGCTTGTTTTAACCCTCTTCTCTCCCGCTGTGTGTTCCAGATGGCAGTGGAGGAGGAGGAGAGCCAGGTGAGGAAACCCCCGGCAGATCTCTGCTCCCCCAGCAGCAAGTTGGCCGAGTCCGACCCTGCAAGAAAGGTCAGTCTCCGTCTCCTTCCCCTTATCCATCAAGCCATCCCTCCATCACCTCCTCTCTTCCCCCTCCCCCTCCTCTACACACAGGTCAGCTCTCAGGGTCACCACCCACACACACTCCCTTCCTGACAGACACACCCCCTGCTCACCCATTCATAGCGGCACACTTCTCCCCTCTGTCAGGAAATAGTCATACAGCGGCTGCTTCTTCTTCACCTCCCCCCTGTCGCAGCACACACACCAACTTTACATGCACACACAGGGAAGAAGCTCTATCATGATTATCTTACACACACACACTGATGCCTGGTGGATGATCCCTCATCCACATGTATGCATGCATGCATATATTAGTTTTATTAGGTTATAGCTCCAAGAGTGCTGTGTGTGTGTGTGTGTGTGTGTGTGTGTGTGTGTGTGTGTGTGTGTGTGTGTGTGTGTGGTGGTGTTGTGTGTGTGTGTGTGTGTGTGTGTGTGTGTGTGTGTGTGTGTGTGTGGTGTGTGGTGTGTGTGTGTGTGTGTGGTTTGTGTGTGTGTGGTGTGATGTGTGTGTGTGTGGTGGTGTGTGTGTGTGTGTGTGTGTGTGTGTGTGTGTGTTGTGTGTGTAGTAGTGTGTGTGTAGGTGTGTGGGTGTAGGTGTGTGTGATGTGTGTGATGTGGATGTGTGTGTGTGTGTGTGTGTGTGTGTGTGTGTGTGTGTGTGTGTGTGTGTGTGTGTGTGGTGTGTGGTGTGTGTGTGTGTGTGTGTGTGTGTGTGTGTGTGTGTGTGTGTCATTGTGATATCTCATCGGTTCAGCTGCAAAAATCAATAAATGTAGATGAAGATGCCATCCTGTTCCTTTGTATCTATAACACAATAGCTTAAAAGACAAATGGTGCTGTGTTGTGTGGTACTTATGTGTGTGTGTGTCTGCGTGTGTTTCTCAGGGGAACACATCTCCACCTGCTCTGGTGTTCAATCGTCTTTTCTCTGACATCAAGGAGGAGCCAGAACACCCCTCCCTGGTCCATCCCAGGTACTACACCTTTCCTTTTGATTAAACAACACCAATAAGAACTTTCAGTGTTGAAAATAACTATTATTTTTCCTATTGATTTATCTATATATATATATTTTTTTTTGAATAATTATTATTTCAAAAGAGATATGTGTGCATGTGTGTTTGAAAGTATCAACTCATTTCTAACTTGTGTTGAGTCTTGAGAAAAGTTTCTGCACTTCTCTGATTATTGGTTCTAATAATGTTTCTTAGTAACATTAATGATATTTATAGCATAATAGCATAAAGTGCATTATTGTATGCCAATATTAAATATTTGACTGATTTGATGAAGAAATAGGACTAGCTGGATTTGTTGGTCAAATGTGAGTTGTTAGAGAATATTAAAAGCATTAGTTTCAAAAAGCCCATTTACTTTAGGGAGTAGATTTTGCTTAAAACATCTATCAATACTTGAAGCTATTCCAGTTGGCCTGCTGTTTTCTCTACAAAGCTGCTGCCTCTGCCAGATACTGAAGGCCTGCTCTCTCTGCCCTTTGGCTTCACTGAAATAATTACAAAGTAAAGTTAACTTTCAGTTTTTGTTTCAGTGAATGAAATTCCCATCCCTAATTTCCCTAATTGGTGCTGCACTCCCTCCTCTGCTCTGTTCCTTCCTCATCCTCGCTCCTTCATCACATGTGCCTCTCCCTCCTCCCCTTTTCTTCCCAAAGCTCTCGTTTCCTCTCTTCTGGTTTCTTCTGTTCCTCCCACCATCCCTCCCCAGAGCACACCAGCCTGTGTTAGGATATGGCGCTCAGTAATCTGACCCAGATTAAAAACTGGATTTAGACGGTTTTACGGCGCCGTGGTTTCATATGACCGCCTGGACTTTCTGACTGTGTGGAGGTCGCGCAGACAGCAAGCCAGACAAATTGGCATGGATTAGTGTTCTGGTCACCTACCAGCATCACATGACTGCCTCACTGTCAAACCAGCCAGGACTTGCACAGACCAGTTTGCAGCTTTTGCATTGCAGCGTTACTAATAATGCACTGCTACACCCGAGCGCCGTGCTATACATCCACAGCACTTAACATCGTATTTGGGTTACAACCAGCATCCATTAGCGATACACTTGTCAAATACAAGCCAGGCTTACATTATTCAATCACATCTTTCATGTGAAGGAATTTCAGATTCCCATTCAGGCGAGCACTGTGCTTCTCTCCATCCAGAGGAGAGGATGCAAGGCTCGGTTGGAAGGTTTTTCCTGCCCCACCGAGCTGTCGTGCATAACCTAGTTCACAGCTCCAGCTCTGTCTGGAGGGGACTGCTGGTGGGGGAGGGGTTCAGAGCTTCACTCCACTCCTCTCCTCTCTTCCATCTGCTTCTCTGTCTCTTTCTATTCCTCTCTCTTCTCCCTCCCTCCCTCCCCACCATGCAGCCAGGAATAAACAGATAGTGTTGGCTCAGTGGCTTCAGTTCATCTCCAGGCACTATCTCTCTCAGTTGTACCCACTACCTGGACATTTGTGATAAGCCGAAAGGTCTGTTTAGGCTGAGATCCTGTGCACTCACGATAAGAAGTGTCCGTATTCCTCACTGTGTTTTCTGCTCTTCCGATGGAGCACTTACTGTTGGCTAAAACAGCCACCAAATGGTTCTATTACTCTGATTCAGCTGTGCTTTATTGCTCTAGAGGTAAAGAGGCCACATGAGTTATTGCAAGTGTGTGTAGCTTTATGTATATCAGCAATGCAAAGTCCATAACTCGTAACATTTTACGATGTTTACTGCAAAGAAAGAAATATGTGAAAGGTGACACTGCTACCATTATGGTTAGAACAATAAAAACTAAAGACAAAACAGATGTCCCATTCGTTATGCACAAACAGCAAACTTTACCTTTTTGTCATTGAGGAAAAATGTTTTAAGCATTTTTTTCGTATAGTAAAAGTACTGTATATGTATGTATTTGTTAAGTCAGTTCAGTGCTTTAATGTCTTCTATCTCTGTCTCTCTCCCAGTTACTACCTGTACACATGCGATAAGATGGTTGCTCCCAACGTGTCTCTGCAAAGGGAGGCGGAGATGAGCCCAGAGATGTTCGGAGCGCTGCTCAAACACCACTACAGCCGCAGAGCGCTGGGACAAAAACGACGAGCCGCCCATGGGTCAGTACTGACACCTGGAAACAGAGTGAACGTGCACTGACAAACCGAAATACATTTATTATATATAATGCACACATGCCATGCCAATCCAGGTATTTCAATTACAAACACCGTCTTTTTGGTTTTAATTGATGCTTAGAGGTCTTGATATTGGACGAGCGGGTCAGAGAGGCAACATTTGATCAAATTGAATTTCAACTTTCCATAATATTCCCAATGTATGTTGAGAATGATCATCCCTCTATATGGGATTCAATTGAGGTAAGCACTGAGTAAGTCTTGCCAGCCTTTCATTTAAAAGAAAATAATGGTCCTTACACTGCACTCAAATGTAATTATAAACAAACAAAGAAAAAGTTCTCGTTATAGTGCTTGTGTAAGTGAATCATGAAAAGAGGAGAGCTGAAAAGGTGAAATTGCAGGAAATTGGTCCATTAAAGAATTAGCTTTACAACTAGCTAATACAACCTGTGCTTTTTGCACATGCTCTGCCAACATTACCCGACAGGAGATGTGAAATGTCATGTTCAGAAAAAGGGTTGGGATATTTCAACACATTATTCCTTATGTAGAGTTATTGCCTTTGGCTCCTGGAAATGAAAAATGATTGATAGTCAACTATATAATGTATTCAATATTACCGATTTTAATATAAATATTCATTTTAACTTAAATAATAAATCCTCCTGTGTGTAAACTGTGTGTACATTAGACACATAAACACAGCTGACACATGCCAACTATAAATACATGACACGCATACAGCGAACGATTTACATACATGTAACATAAGCGGAAGAGACATGCAGATGATGTTTAGCAGACACGTGCTCACCGTAAACATACAACCTACAGTAAACTGGCATCTGATACACACACACATACATGCCCACACACACTTTACATAGCATCCTGCAGTGCTGTAACATAATCATGCATTGACCTTCACATAAAGACTCTGCGGGCACCTCAGTATTGATGAACGAGAGGAGTGGAAGTGGCCATGACCTCTCCTCTGCACTGTGTGTGTGTTTTTATGTGCATACTAAAATGTGTATATGACTGCATTACTAAGAAGTACATATCTGCTGGGGAAATACAGCTTTTCTCATCGAGCTCCGAAAATGCAGAACAAGCTTACCTCGATTTTATCCTTCGGGCATTTTAACTTTTGAGTATATTCCTAATTTAAAGTTGATACATTTTATTTAATGTAGTGTTTCTCAGTGCTAGGATTTGTATTTATTTTCTAAGCTGTATTTTAAACAAGGTCTCTGCCTCAATGTATTTCTTATTTAAAATAAAGGTCCAATACTGTATATATAGCTATACAGTATATATGTATATATAGATATATGTAGAGAGAGAGAAAGTGGGGCAGAGTGAATCATGGGAATGGTTTCCGTCTGCCATTATTACGCCATGTCTGATTGCCAGGCTGCGTCTCGTATCTCTCGGGCGTTCTGCTTCCCTTTTTCCTCTCCAACCAATCTGTCTCTCTTCCCTCCGTCCTCCCTCTCTTTTTCCTGGCAGCTTTTTTCCACATCCTGCCCGAGTCCGTCCGCTCTCACACTTCCTCTCCCATCCATCCATCCTCTTTTCTTCTCTAGCTCTTTCAACTCCGCCTCCCTCACTGTCTGCTGTCACTTTTTCTTTCCCCTCCTCCACTTCCTCTTCATCCTCTTTTTCTCCTCATTGAATGCTTTCCTCCCCCCAGTCTGTCTGTGTGCCTCTCCCTTTCTCTTTCTCCTACTTACTTTCTTTTGATCCACCACCAAATGACCCACTCCCGGTATTTGTGTGCTTCTACTATTGTGTGTGTGTGCTTTGCAGAGTATGTGGGTTTGTGTTTGCACATGCGCAAGCCGGTTTGCATTAGTAAATGAGAGTCCTCTCCAGTGCCAGACATGCTGCGTTCAGAGCATGCTGTTTCCTGTCACACGTATACCGAGTGAATACATTATTCTGGTAAACAAGTTACCTTTCTCATGTTCCCTTTTCCTCCTCTCTCTCTGTCTGTGAGCCTATACTGTCAGACACAGCATCATTACTAGCCTACACATGTCCCGCTGCAGCATCTGTGCACATGTGTGTTTGTGTGAGGGAGTGACATGGCCCGTTTGATCCTCTTCTCCATGATGCACACATTTAAAGGCAACAGGGAGGGAGTGAGCCAGAGTTTGAACAGAGGAGAAGCCCACGCAGAGCAGCTCCCACACAAGTTCCTTTATTCCTCTCTGTTCTTTCTCACTGTCTGAGGATGCGCACACACAAACACACACACACACACACACACTCACATACACACAAACACTCACAGTTTGTGTTTGGTAACTCTGCTGTTGCCATGCTTGTGCTCGCGCTCACACTGAGAAAGAGGTGTGAGCTTTTATAAGGTTGTGCGAGGGTGTTACTAAGCGTAGGCGGGAGTATGCGCCAGCTCGGCTGGCACTTCCTGTCTTTCAACCACCTACTCTTCTTCTTTGTATTTTAATATTTTGTAAAACTCTTCCCTCACCCTCCTCTTCCTCCCTCCTCAGATCTTCACGCGTCGCCTCCCGTCGCTGCTTGCGCCGAGGAGACCAAATCCCATCGTGCCGTTGCTGCCTCGGCCACAGAGCGGGAATGCCAAACCCAGGCAGTTTCCATGGCGACAAGCAGCCCAAGCTGCAAGAAAGCCACCCACACCCCCGCCCACTCCCCTCCTCCTGCTCCCACTCCTGTGTCGTTGTTGTCGCCGGTAACGGAAGTAGCGGTTAAGGACACGGGCTCTGCTGCGAGCGGCGCTGCAGTGGTGGGGGGGGTGGAGGACGACAAGGACAGGATTGTGGTGGAGATCATGCAGATGTACGGCAGGCAGCAGGAGAAGCTCAACTCCACCCTGCACAAGCAGCTGCAGCTGGAAATGGTGAGTTGGCAGTCAGAAAGAACAAAAGCCCAAGATAAATGAGACCAGAACTGTCCTACTGCCTATTGAAGTGTCCTTGACGCAGATGTGGAGGTGATGATCACCTTCACCCAACCCTCCATCTTTTTCTCCTTTTAGCTGAAAAGATATTAAAGCTCAAATGTCAAACATCACCCCCATTCATGTTAATCAAAACTCAGTCACTGAAACGTATTGTAAAATATTACGTTTTTATTTCAGCTTTGACACACAGTATAGAAATACAGTTAATCTATATTATAGTGATGTTTACATCTACTCGTCTATGTTCTTTTGTATCGAGTAACTCACCAAAGGGATTTCAATTGCATTTCAGATATTAACTTTTAGAAAATATTAGTTCAAAAATGTTTAAAATAATAAAACAACAACAAAAAATAAAGATACATTTAATGTAAATACACAAAATCATCATTATCTTTCCTCTCTTCCACTTTTTGGCCATGACCACATCCATATCCCCGTGAATGTCTCAAAGATCACATTTAGGGTTTTTGATTCTATCTTCATGTATAGATAGATAGAATGCACTGCAGGGCCGTAGGATATACTGCTGTTGTGTTATCAAAGATCTGGCATCTTCCTCTACAGGGTCAATGATATATCACATTACTGTTGTTATTCCTCTAACTTAGTCTCTGTTTCTTCAGGAGCTGGAGGCGGTGCGTGGGGGCGAGGCGGCCCGGCTACGAGAGCTGAGCGCCGAGCAGAGGGAACTGCGCTGCGAGCTGGAGGCCGTGCACAGCGAGCAGGCGCGGCAGCTCAGCCAGGCCCGCCAGGAGCAGCTGGAGCTGGAGACCCGTCTGGAGCAGCTCCGGCAGCAGGCCTGCGCCTGCGAGCCGGGCGCTCAGCGCCAGCAAGAGGCCTACTACACCGCACAGGTACGACTGGAACAACGACTGTCACATACAGTCTGAATCACAGCGACACATACAGTCTGCGCGATGGATAAACATATGCCTTTTTATCCCAGACGTTACAGTGCCACGCTACAATCAATCTCAACAGCAGTACTTTCAAGGAATTTACATCCATTTAATTCCCTTTGCTTTCAATGTATTGCCATGGATTTTAAACTTTGAAACACATTTGCCTTGAGACATTGCTGAAAGGATGTTAGCATTGTACTGCAGCATATTCAGAAACACACTGAGGCAATGTAAACATCCCTCTGTGAATCTTTTACCCTCAGTAAGTTGTTATAGTAAATACAAGCAGTCTGTTTGGACTAATGGAGGTATATTCACTGTTCAAATATGTTAACATTTACTTTTAAATCTGCCCATCAGACATGTATATATATACACGAATATTTAGAGCTCATACACATCACCCCCTTTTTCACTCAGGATAGTCAGAGTGTTTTCTACCAAAACCTTGAGAGCGGAGATGTGGTCACAGCCTTCCTATGATTGAGAGTTTCCCTGCTGAAGAATTTTCTGCTTATGCGTGTCCTATATGAGTCACTGTGCTGTTAAGGAGTGTGGAAGCGTGCACACACATGCACACGCACACACACACACACACACACACACACACACACACACACACACACACTCGGAGCCTTTGTTTGGGTTTCCACCAGACTTAATCTGTAGATAGGTTTTGTTATGTTGGCCTGAGCTACGGTCTGCAGTAGCCCCCTCCTGTCAGTCACTGAAGCTGCCCCGCCCCCTCCCCTTGGCATCAAACTCAGGATGTCTGCCAGTTAGTTAGGAAATGGGATGGGGGTGTGCATGTGTTTGTGTTGTTGGCATGGAACTACACATGGTGTGAAGCAATTTCCCAGTTTTTCGCAGTAAAAACAGAGCAGTAAATGTGACAGGAAACGTAAGCTACAAGAATGTCCTTTACATTTATTTTTGTTGGATATTAAAATCACACATTAGTATTATGAGTGCTCTGTGCTCTCTTTGGCTGGCAGCAGCACACTGTAAAGATAGCTTCTGTAGTCAAATGATAACAAATATGACCGCTGATGAAGCCACAACACTGAGGGTCAGTGTCTCTCCAATCAGGATGTGACTTTTTTGTTGTTCTTGTCTTACTGTATTTTTTTAGTTTTGGACGAAACGCGAAGTTTTAAAACGATTTCCTGTACATTTAGAGTTTTCTTACATGTATAGTCATCACAGAGAGGCAAAATCACATAAGGATTTTGAGTATTCTGCAGCTGCTACACCTCCAAAAAACATGATGAAAGCTGTTTATTTCTCAAAGCTCCAGCGACGTGTGATTTTGCTGCCATATGTGTTGGACTAGAAGTCCTTTAATGTGCTGCGTAGACCTCATGCCTGTCTCTCTCCGTTTCCTCCCAGTTGTCGGAGCTCCGTCAGAGGCTGGAGCGTGCGGAGGCCGACCGGCAGGAGCTGCAGGAGGAGCTGCGCCATGAGCGGGAGGCGCGGGAAAAGCTAGAGCGCACAATCAGCCAGCTCAAGCAGCAGATGGTGCAGTCTGCCACGGTGGGAGGCAGCCCCTCTCCTCCTCTTACCCCTTCAACCGGACCCCCTAACGCCCACTCCCCGCACTCCTCCTTCTCAGAGGCCCCAGCGGCTGGCCAAAAGTAACTGCCACCCCCCCTCAGGCGCCTCCCTCATTCATCTCCCCGTTACCCGCCAACTCTACAGACACAAACAGCCTGAAGCTGAACGGCTGTTTTTAAGTTGAGCATCTCCCCCTTGCCTCCAGTGTAGGACTGACTTTTGATTTTGTAATTTAACATCACCTAAATGTTGTGTTTTTTTTATTTTTGCTTTCTTTTGCTCCCCTATCCTGTCTTTAAATTGTATTTAAAGATGTTTTTGGGGCATGTATGTTTGATTTAATTTATAGTTTTTACTGAACAAACAGCTGCTTCACAGACGGGAGTTTGGTAGAGACAAACTCAACCCATCATGATTTCCCCCTCACGACTGTCTCCCTCCTCTTTCTGGATTCTGGAGCTCATGCCTTGGAGATTTCAGACTCCAGCCCGGACACACAGACTCGTCATGCTACTACCTGGCACAGCAGCTGGTGCCATCGGACACAAAATGGCGCCCGGTTGCATGCCCCTTCTCCATCTCTCTCTGTACCTACAGCCCAAACACTCGAGTACCAGCGCCTGCAGGAAACTGCATGGACATTTTAATAGTTTTTTTTTTGTTGCTCCTTATAAAACACAGAAAGAAAAAGTCTAATATGTCAAATACATCAAATCTATATGGAGGAGAAAGACCTTTACTGTACAAAAAAAAGACCTCATGAAAATATGCCAATTGTGACGCTGAACTTGGAATGAGTGTTTTGAGTGGGACCCTTTCAAGGTAGCTAGCTAACTCTTCTGGCCTGGACTCCAGCTGCTCCTCACACCGTTTCCTCTTCCCTCTTCCTCCGCTGTATGCTAGCGATTGCCCTCTGCTGGAAAACTCCTTAACACTGTGGTTTTCACCCACTTTAGGCTAGACAGGAAACACTGTGCTCTTTTCTTGGCTTGGCTTGGAAGAAGCTCACGAGCGGTGTTATGCACTTAACACGCTCTCCTCCTCCAGAATCCCCTGGGAGAGGAATGTGTCGGGACTCGGGGGGCCGGTTGTGTAGCTTTTCTAAGAAAGAGGGAAGTCTCACATGTGCAGTAGCTAGCTGCACTGTGTTACCATAATAATGCATGCAACATCCCCGAGTGTGTCAGCGCAGAACAACGGGCAGAGGATCAAAGCTCCGGGCTGTCCCTGTTTTCGGGGGTCCTCTTTTTGTATCGTTTGACTTCATCGTTAACAGACGTTTTTTATGCAGCGCCCGGTTTGTCAGAGCTTCATCTAGGAATGTGGGTGGCAGGTGAAAGCAGTTAGTCTGCGGTGGTTTGCGTCTGGCCCCTGCTTCACGTTATTCTGCCTGGCTGAACAAACAGCACCGGCAGGAAGAGGAGGGGAGGGGAGGCGAGGATTGAGGGGAGCTAGGGGGGGGGGACTGGTGCTCTCCCCCTGCAGCAGGCTGGGTGGCCGAGACGCCAGGGGGACACGGGGAGCCCGTTTTTTGTTTTGTACCTTTTTAGAATGGGGGCAGCTGTTGTTGTCTGTGGGCCTCTGATCGCCCTTCACTGTACAGCATCCCCCCCTCTCCAATCCATCTCTCAAAAACCTCCCTCCCTCGTCCTCTCCCACAAAGACGACCGTCACTCACTCACACAGACCCGTCCGTCCATCCCCAGCGCCAGATCAGCCGGGGGTGTGCCCTGTTTTGTAGGAAAGCGAGCAGACGTCCAGCCAGAGGAGGAAAGGACTTTTATTGTGTCAGTTGCCGGGCAAAAGCGCTTTTTATTGCCACTAAGGAAATCCCTGTACGCGAGTGTGTGTGTGTGTATGTGTGTGTGTGTGTGTAAATAATTGTTTAAAAAGAGAAGGGGATCGGCCTCAGTTAAACTCTGAGCTTTTTTATGCATCTGCTATAAATGCAAATTGATAGACATTCCACTGTGCTCCATCCTGTTCGATGCAGATTTTCTTACACAGCTTCCCTTTACGATAGCAGAGCCTAAAGACCGGGCCGAGTACAGTTGTGGTTTGTTGATTGTCAGAAAAAGCAGGTGCAGGTGCAAGCCAGTAAAATCAAACCCACGCCGCAAATGTACACTCTACTGTTCCATTTAAACCTTTATTGAAATTATGAAAGAAAATATTTAACGTATTAACTAAAGATTTATATTCACTTTGTAAATACAGTAGTCATTAATATATTAACTGTTCTTATATGAAAAATCTTCAAAAGGTTATATACATTGGACCAGAAGTAAGGCTTCAGATGTTTTAGCTTTCTTTCTTTTTTTTTAAAAAGTGATCAGAACTTGGCTTTTGTCGAGTTGATGTGGGGGGAGTGAAACATGGTTTCCTGAGACGTGATGCAGGAAGAATGCAAAATAGGAAAATAATACTTTGTTACACACTTTCCCCCCTTTTTCTGAAATTATGCATTTGTTGTCCTTTGTGGATTTCATCTTGACCGACTGTAATGTGTAATGTGACAAGCTTTTCCCTCCTTGTTAAACCCCCCTCCCCATGAGATGAATTGAAAATGAAAGATTTGCTTAAGAAAATGCATTTTGAAAAAACAAAATTTTTTTCTTTTGCATGTTTGGCTGCCCCTTATGTTTTGTGTGTCACTGGGCCAATCTTACCAATCTGTTGATCGTGAAAAAAGAAAGAAAGGAGATGTCCCCCCCCCCCCCCCCCCCCCCCCCCCCCCCTCACGCACAAACTATTGAGATGGCTCATATGCATGAACATTGAACATGTGCAAGTTTTATATCATTATTGGTTTAGAGGTTGGCTAAGTATAACGTCAGATTATGAAGAACATATAATGTAGCCTAATTTGATTTGGAAATGATGTGAGAGTGTGTTGAGTGTGTGAGAGAGAGTGTGTGTTGGCCTCCCACGTCTGACTGAAGCACAGCAGCTTTGAAAAGGGAAAGAAAAACTTGCTCATGTAGCTCTGGATGTGTAGTTATTGTTTCTGATTCTGATCATTTATCCTTGTGTGGATCACTCAAAAAGATAATCAGTATTAGTTTTTAATGACTTAATTACCTCTTCGGCAGAACAAAACAAAAACAAATCCTTTCGATTCATCACATTAGCAGATAACTAATGTTTACTCTAATCGTGTAATTAGAATTTTGTACACAAGGTGGCGTTAAGCTTCTTTAATCATACATCATATTGAAAAAATGACTAAATGAAAGGGGAGAAAAATCCCCTGTAACAGGTTTGCTGAGCCTTTTTGCATTTTGCAGTGTTATGAGAACTTGGATATGCTTTGTACAGAATTTTTACAGCTGTGTGAAGTTTGCCCCACAGACGAGAAAAACAAGGCGAAATGAGCAGAGCTTTACCATGTGGACACATTTGAATACTGGATTTACATACCCATAATGCCTCCTGGCTACGTGGAGAAAACTTGTAAAAAAAAATCCTAGGTGACCTTTGAACTATTCTGCTTTGTAGTTGGGTGTGTAATTTTCAGCAGGTAATTATTCTATGCCAGTGTGGGACAAGAGGGATGTCTGCATTGATCACACAGATTCCTGCTTACTAAGAATAGGGACGCCATGTTTTAAATTTATACACATCCTGCTATAGATGAAAAAAAAGATTCATGGCTTTGCTAAAAAGAACCCTCTTTCCCCTTGATGCTGTTCTGAAACACAGCGTCTGTGTTTGACCATTGCATACTACGTTGCCAATACTACAGTGTGATGAGACTTTTGTTCTTGCATGAATCGAGACACTGTTCTCCTACCTCATGTTGTGATATAAAAATATGTTTTTTAAGCAGAAGACACTGCATCGCTAACTGTTTATCATCATTGATATTTACTAGTAAATTACATACCTGTCAATGCTTTTAGCTAATACCTCAGTTGTATCTAGTGTTTGTTTTTTTTCTGTTTTTGCCCTTCCCTGATTTCAGATCTTGTAAATATTCCCTGTATAGACAATGAACTTGGATCAAATTCAAGTAAAGTTCTGTAGTGTCAAACCAGTTGTCTTTTGCCTTTTTGATGCACATTTCTGTCCTCACTTCCTTATTGACTAAACATTCACACATTTACACCAAATTCTCATTGAAAGCCATCAGCAATTTTATTTTTTATTTAACCTTTATTTAACCAGATAAAAAACATTGAGATAAAATCTCATTTTCAATGCTGACCTGGCCAAGAAGGCAGCAACGTTACACATAACACAAACATATAAAATACAGAGAACATAAAGAAAACAAAAGACGAAAAAGCAGTCACTACATTGTGCACATTAGGACAATAAAAAAGTACACCACTTGTTACTGCAAGAGCAGCTGGTGGTGAGGACTTCAGACAACTTCAATTTAAAACATGAAATAGAGACAAGTGCCCTCAGTTTAAGGCGTGATTGAAGGTCATTCCAAGACCAAGGACCATAATAAGAAAGACTCCTTTTTCCAGCCTCAGTCCGTACAGTAGGAACATGGAACCGTATCCAGGCACTGGATCTGAGTTTGTAAGAGTCACAAACTGGAGCAAATCTGACACATATGTAGAGTGGAAGCTTACCTAAAATGGCTTTATACATTAATAAAAACCAGTGCTGCATCCTACGCATAGTAAGTGAGGACCATCCAGTTAGGCTATACAATGTGCAATGATGAGTCCTATAGGGTGCATTTGATATATAACGCAGTGCAGCATGGTAAAGTGGGTCAAGTTTGGCCAAAACAGTGGGACAGGCAAATCTATAAATGGTATCACCGTAGTCCAGCTGGGACAGGAATAAGCCAGAGACCAACCTTTTACGGGATGAAATTGAAAAACAACATTTAAATCTGAAAAGGAAGCCAAGAGTGAATTTCAATTTCTTTGTTAAAACTTCAATATGGTGTTTAAGAACCACATCAGAAGCAAGCTTCTGATGTGGTTTTAACTTCAGTAGTTTTGTACATAATCGTCTCTACAGCTGATAATGGAGATTTAAAGTCAACAACAGTATGGACACAATGAAGCCAGTGAGTGGCACTCAAGCTAAAAAAGAAAAAATCCCTTTCTCTTAAAATAATAATGTGTAGAACTGAAAGAGCTCGATTAACTTAATCAGTCTTTGATCAACAGAAAACTAATTTCTTACTTCAAACTAATAACATCTTCTGGTTTCAGCCTCACTGTTTTTGTGTTATATGAAAGTACATTTATATTTTGACTCCATGATCAATAAGTTTATGATCATTTGGCAGAGGAATCAATAATTACAACAATATTTGTATATCTGATCAGTTCTGGAAGAAGTATGCAAATATAAAAAGTAGCAAAATCAAAGTGTAGAAATACATTTAATAATTAGTAATAATAATAAAAATTAGAATATACTTGGTATATATTACAGCATACTTTGGGATTATAAATAGTGATGCATTCATGTGTTCACTTTAATGTTGCAGCTAGTGAAGGTGGGTCTGTTTTTAAAAATCATCTCTTGATGCAATCACACCAGACTCAGACAAATTGGATCAGGGGCTTCTTCCTCACACATCTCCTGCTGGCGCCCTCGCTCGGACCACACCCATCTTTAAACTCAACCGTCTAATTTTAACATCTGCAAAGTTGCATGACTACATATTGCACAATTGCGAAATTGTAGTGACAAAATGTGTCAACTGACAATACAAAGTTCCTCAAATCCTCCTCTATTCTAGTTCCCCATACAGTAGGGGCTTCCAGGAGCCCACTCTGCCACGAAAAGCTAACAGACGTGAAATGGCAGCATCCCACCCACACTGATTCAATAGAGATGGAACATTTTTATTTTAACAAACAATGCATCCTTTAATTAATCACTTTATTAACTGTTGATCAAATGCATTCAAAAGATTTAGTATTAAAAAATAAATTATAGCCGGGGGCTAAACAAAGTCTTTAGGATTCATTCTGCTAGGACATGGATTTCTCTGCCTCATACCATCTTGGTATTGGATGAGCCAAAGTACTGGTCTGACCAAAAAGGTCCAGATTGAGGTCTCAAGAGTTTAGTCCACATCTTCCAACACGAGACCTGTTTGTGTTTTGTGTGGTCGTGCTCTGTCCTCCGAAGGCGGGCTAAATGTAAATCTCCACTCACAGACGCTGTCGGGGGGCATGGCCCCCCCGCCCTGCCCCAGCTGCGAGGCTGGACACACTGCACATAAAACCACTGCTATCAGGAGGCTGTTGAGGAAGCAGAGCCAGGCGCCGCTCAGGCCCAGGTACGCAGGTATCCCCACAGGCAGCAGGAGGAGCACGGCCAGGATCACCAGGAACAGAGCCCATGTGTTCAGAAATATATGCAGGGTCTGGAGAACAAAACTTCTTCTGGAGTGAGCTCTACTTTGGTCTGTAATTTGATCTTTTAAAGGAGGATGTTTTAATGTCAGGCGTCCAGCATGCAACGCTGCACAGCCCAAGATCAGGAGGAGAGATGTAGCAATGTGCAGGATCTGAGAGGTGTGGAAGACCCAGCACTGGTGGATCTGGATGTGAAACACTTCCTCCATGACGGGCCTGAAGTCAGACAGCAGGAAGACGTAGAGAGCAGAGAGGATCCACAGCAGGCCGCTCCCAAAGAGGCTCAACCTGCTGGAGGCCTGCCACCTCCGAGTGACGGAGAAGAAATGGTCCAAACCGGCCACGATCACGACAGGCCACTGCAGAGCGCTGTACACTTCTCCGAGGATCTGGACCAACAGACACACGTGGTACCGGGTCAGCTTTAAGCCCAGGAGGTGTCCCTCAGCCTGGAGGTGCAGGGCGGTGACGGAGAGGGTCAGGAGGGTGTCGACGACAGCCAGGGACGCACTGAAAACTCCCAGGAAGCTTCGGCAGATGTGTTTCCTCTGGAAGAACACCAGCGCCCAGTTGAGAACACATTTTCCTCCCAGGCCCCGCAGGATGGAGGCGATGGGGATGTTCATTGTGTTTTCAAGGAGGCTCTGCTGCTGCAGGGGGGAAACTGAATTTAAATGTATTACTTAAAAAAAGCCTTACAACCTTACTTTCAAATCTTAAAGAACCAGTATGTAGGATTTTTATTTATTTTTTAATTGGGATTTTACTAAATAATATTGTTATTAACCGGCATCATTGGGAATGTTGTATAAACTTGAACTTGAACTTGATTTCTTATTTCTTACGGTTATTTTGAACTCAGCTTACAATGAGCACTGCCTTGTTTCTACGGTAGCCCAGAGAGGTCAAACCCAACACTGAATGTAGATAAAGCCTTTTGATTTGTGCCGTTATGTGAAGCCCACGTACACATGCTTGTAAGGGAGGGGTGTGCAAAGTGTATTCAGTTGGTTGTAAAAAACCTTTTCACTCCTAATCCACTAACCACTTTTACTTTTTACTTTTGTTGTTCAAGGTTAGTTTATTTGTATAGCACATTTTAAGACACAGAGGCAATTCAAAGTGCTTCACATAGGCATTTAACTAAAAGTGCAATGATAAGGCACGTTTAATTAGCCCCAAGCCAGTTTTTTAGGTCTCAGGCTCGAAAATGACATTCCCAGAACAAATGACTATATCTTCACTTCTAAAAGGGGTAAATTAATAATCTTTTTTCTCAAAGCAATTATAAACCTGTGAGTTGGATGTAGAAAAGTCAGAATCAATATAGAATTTTTTTATTTTAAAGTAAATTCAGATTGAACATAGTAAAAAAATGTAAATTATAGTGTCCGTCCAAAACAAAACATTACTTATAGTGAAAACCACCCTTGAATGATGGGATAGTAGACTAAAAGCTTTAGGAATCCAAACTATAACATATAATAAGTACCCTGTATCAAGATTGATGCAAAACAAGTGACATTTGACCTTTTTAGAGAGGTTTAGCAACAACAAAAAAACCTCTGGGGTCATTTGTGTGAATTTGGGTGTATTTGCCGTTTCTCTGGAACCCATTGGTCGATCTTTTGAACCGTTAGAGCCAATAGAATGGAAGGGGAAGTTCCTAAATCCATCTAAACATTACCATTGAGGAGTGAGAGGGATGCGCACACAGTTTGCTAAAGCTATTACGCTCTGAAAACTGAAATTGCCATAAATATGATGATGGATTATCAGTAATCATTTCAAAGTGACACAGACACATTGGATTAACCTTCAGCAGCGTTTTTATCGTTTTAATGCCATTGAACACAACTTTTGATCAGAACAACAGTAAGACTATTTGCCGTTTTGGCTCCGTAAAGCTACGTTGTGTGATGTCTGGGTTTGCTTCCCCTGCCGCGATCGCTCAGTGATGATAGAATCTAGAATCTGTGGAATCTCAGCTTTAATCTGATATCTTGTTTGTGCAGATCCGATAAGTAATAAAGTATTTCTACCGTGAGTTCTGTGCTAAGTGTGTTAGCATTTTTTAGCTCAGGGCTAATTCAGAGGCTCGGCGTTAGACTTGTGTTTTGTTTAGCTAAAAGATTTTCATATCGTCAGTTAGCTGAGTTTCTTCCCGTTAAGTAGATATGACACATTCATAGTTTGTTAAATGTTAAGAAGCCCTCAGACGCTGTTTCTTGCAAGATGTTGCGTTTTGCCCCCGGTTGGGGCATGGGGCTTAACTGAGGATCTCAGGATGGGCTGCATTAAAAAGAAAGGTTTTTAACCATGTTATTTTTCTTCTTTATTTGCTTTTAAAGCGCTTTGTGCACCAGGAAAAGCGCTATATAATAATTATTATTATTATTGTAATCCGCAACTTGATTGCTCTATGTCACAAAATCCTGCAAACTGCTCCTTTAAATAAATTGATAACTTCTATCAAATCTAAATTTAAATCACTGTCAAAAAGACTGAGTGAAATGCACCCTTTAAACAACAACAAAAACATTTTATTTTTTTCTGCTCAGACCTTATTTAAACGTTTTCTCTGTCTGCATGGAGACTCATCCCATGGTAACAGGCTTTATTTCCTTTTTTAAACTGGCGACTCACAGTTTCTGCAAAAGATGAACTGAGTATTCGTTTCAGGAGTATCACGCTAACCGAGGTAATCTTTTTTGGACCCCAGCCTCCAGCCTCTCCGGTTGATATTCTGGGCTCTCTCAATAAAAACATCCTCCCCTCAGTCATGAACCTTGGAGTGACCTTCAATAGCGCTTTTACATTTGATAAGCAGGTCAGCACCGTAGTCAAAACCTGCTTTTTTTTTTTTAAATAAGACTATTGGCCAAGACCAAGTCGTTTTGATCTTTCAAAGACCTAGAAAGGGTGATTAATGCCTTTGTAACCACGAGGCTGGATTATTGCAACGCTGTATACGTGGGGATGGACCAGGCATCAATTAGATGCTTGCAGCTAGTCCAGAACGCAGCTGCGCGTTTTTTATTTGCTGTTGTAAATGATTGTTTTCTGTTTGCTATTGTAGTAAAGTGTTTTTATGACATGTACAGCACTTTGGCTCGAGCAAAAATCGTTTTTAAATGTGCTATGTAAATAAAACCTGATTTGAACCTTCAGGGTCATTCATGACAACTTTTCACTTCTACTTTTCCAAACTGTCAGTCAATCTGCAACCGCCAGTAAAACCACAGAGTGCAAAACCACAGGTACTTAAAGAAGCTATCAAAGCGGAAGTGACACTGGGAAATAATGAACTGATTGTATGCTCGCACGTTAAAGTCCCACCTTTAGAGGATATCAGAAACTAGGAACATTACTGTCTTTCTGTTTCAGTATGGATGATTTCTTGGGCGATCTGAAGTGGTGAAGTTTGCATTTTCTAATATTAAAGTTCAACATCTGTATTTGTTACACACAGTGCGCTTACGTTTGACTGTTTTTAGGCCAAAAGATACTACATATTTTTGGCTTACAAAAAGCTTACCTCAATAAGGTATTCTGGAGCTTTCACAATCACAACATTCGTCAATAGATGAAGTTTTCCCATGTTGATGTCATTATTAGAGTTAAAATGTTCTTATATTTCTGAGGATTTTAGGTCTTTTCTTCCACGTTTGTTTAAAAAATCGGATCTGACGTTGATTTTCTACCAATTATATAATCGCTGTTTCCAAGGTGACAAATAAACTCTCAATCTTTGCTTGTTATCTCTTGTGAATCTAAAAAAAATGCCCACTCACTTCAGAAAAAGAGGAGATCTTCACACAGTAAATTTCTCTGAGTAAAATTGACTCAAATTGAAGAAAATTTTACTCTAAAAATATAACATTTGGTCCCAACCTATATAGAGTAAAATGTACTCTTTGTTCAGAGTTGTATTTTTAGAGTTCATTTTACTCTATTATGTGCTTAGATTTGACTCTGCTTAATGGTTATTTACTCTATGTAGTGTATATTAAAAACAACTCTACTGCCATTTTACTCATAATAGAAGGTCATTTTACTCCCAATCGAACGTAATTTCACTCCCAATAGAAGGTAATTTCACTCCCAATAGAAGGTAATTTTACTCAGAATAGAATAAATGAACCATAATGATCTTTACAATATAAAAGGTCAATAAACCAAAGTGCTTAAGGAACATGAGTGGGCGTGTGTGAAGCTGACCATTGAGCGGCCCGACCAAGCAAGGAGGCAGAGGCAGAGAGTTCAAATACAACCCGGTGTGGGCATTTATTCCTCTTTGTGGTACAGGATACACAGCCTCAATATGACTGTCTCACGTGAACCCAGTCACCAGTCACCAGTCACCAGTCACCAGTCACCAGTCACCAGTCACCAGTCACCAGTCACCAGTCACCAGTCACCAGTCACCAGTCACCAGTCACCAGTCACCAGTCACCAGTCACCAGTCACCAGTCACCAGTCACCAGTCACCAGTCACCAGTCACCAGTCACCAGTCACCAGTCACCAGTCACCAGTCACCAGTCACCAGTCACCAGTCACCAGTCACCAGTCACCAGTCACCAGTCACCAGTCACCAGTCACCCACTAACAGGAAAACAGAACCTAAATACACACAGGACTAATCAAACCAACAAGACACAGGTGAGGAGGGAGGAGAAACACAGGGCACCAGGTGAACGCAATCACCAGCAACAGACAAGACGGGAGGGGGAACACTTTTCAAACTAAAACAGGAAACAGAGACAGATTGTGACAAATATATGCATAAATGACATATAATCACATGCTTCCTGTGCAATGTTTTAGCGTGGAACAAATTAATATACTTCGCCAATAATGAAGCTATATAATCCGTAACGGAGACCGAGATCTATGGCCCCGGAGATCACCTCCGTTACAGCGTGGTCATGGTTTAACTCCAATAGAATTGACTCTGCATTTTTTATCGCACTCTAGAAGCTATGAGTAATAAATACACTCCAAAATGATTAAATATCACTATTTCAGAGCAAAATAGTAATTACTCTGGAAAAAATACTCACCAATATTTCCTGTGCAGGAACTTAAAATATCCAAATCATTTCCATGTGCAGAAGGTGACAAAGATGATTGTTCTCTGACTGAAACCTTGATTTGTACTACATTGTGTTGGCCTTTGCACAGTAAAAAATATTTCCAAATTAAATAAAACATTTTATATAGTTGGTGAGTGTATTGAAAATATAAATCCATTACTTTTGAGCATGCAAAGCACAAATGGGGTCTTAACTTCTCCTCTCTTTTAAAATAAATGTGTTTTTGAAAATGAATTTATTCTCACCCAAAGTGAATGTCACACAGATTAACACATAATTGGAGGTAATTTGTCTCGTAATTCATTATCTGTTTTTTTTTTCAACATTTAAAGGAAAACAGGTAGAGCAGCTTGGGCTATTAAGGAAGTTGGCATGACAAAATATTGAGACCAAATCTGATCAAAAAATAAAATACAACATGTTAATGTAATTCTGCTCACGATTGGACTTTTCTTTAATCAAGACACTGCACATATGCACCAGAAGTCTCAGTAATCAAGCTTTACATTTACATATTTCTCTCAGTTTGACAGGAGACTTTTGCAGCACAATAATCCCACATATTCAAAACAAAGATAGTTACCTTTGGATGTATTACCTATGTGATACTGGTCATCAGATGTTACATGCAGCACTGTTTCTCCGTCTCTGTTCCCTTTGAGAGGTAATCAAATATCCAGCTTCAAAGCAGCTGTACGTAGATAAAAAAGCTTTTTTCTAGAAGGCGTGGTGAAAGAGAGAGAAGCCGGTTTGGCACACACAGGTCTGGACAAAGCTGTAGGCAGTTTGTGGACACAACATAAATCTTTCACAGAATACAATGCAATGCCCGCCACACTTTTTTTTTCATTGTTCTTGAAGATGTTATGGATGCTACACAGACGTTTCAACATAATTCAACTTCATAGCACCAAAGAGTCAGTGAGGTTAACTAGTGTTGGTTTTAAAGGTGCCAACAAGGTGTGGTTCATGTTATTTAAATCCTTTGCAAATAGGCTTTGAGGCCCCAAAGAGTACACGAGGAAATAAGGCTTTGGTTTCAAACTACTGTTCCTGCTCCTCTACTGATGGCTGCCTGAGGTTTGCTCTCTTGCACATGCTTGAAGTATTTTTTAATGGTCTTCACAAAAAAAACAAGTTAATATTCTAAACAACTTAGACAACTTATAATACAAACAATTACAACATAAAATAATAAAGAACAGGCATACCATCAGGTTAAATAAGAGAGGTGTATGGAGGTTATTTCGAGGAAATATATTATTATAATGATTGTGAAGTTAATATTAAGTATATAGTTATACTGACACACCTATTTGGCGTTGAGACCTTTTTGCTTTGACTTGTCGAACAACTTTTTTCCCCGGGGTTATTTAATATTTTGTCACTTCCCTTTTCCCCCTAGACTTTAGGAGAAGGTAATGCCAATACATAGTGAACTTGCAGAGTGCACTTGCATTTGAAAGACAGTCAAAACTAAAAAGCAAGAACAAGCAAATCACCATGGGTAAAAATGGGGAAGAGTGCATTCAAAAGACAAATAAAATAAAACGAAAGTAAGCACACAGATAGTTAAAAAGGAAAGAAGAATTGCAATCAATTACAATACTTCTGTATTTAACATTGCTCTTACAATACTTTCAATGAATTAAAGTGTCAGGGTTGAGTGAAGCAGGCAGGACCCAAATGCAGATTTCACAGAAAATCCCTTTATTCCAAGGTTAAATTGTCAAAAAAACAGAACACTACCCCGTGCAGAGCCGGCCGACCCATTAAGCGACATAAGCGGCCGCTAAGGGGCCCCCTAGCAAAAAAAATGAAAAATGAAAAAAAAAAAAATCTCAGTACACCGTCGCCGTGATAAGTATGTTTAATTAATTTTGTTAATATGCCTAGATTGCCTACTCTCAAAGTCATGTATGATATTATTGAGTCAATAATATAATACATTAACCGTGCTTTACCTGAACCTCATCATGACACTAGAGAGGACGGCAGGATTGTAATTTCCCGTGTTCAGTGAATGCAACAGAGGCAAGACACCAGACCAACCAGAGAGTTGCATGGAAATAAACATCTGTCTTATTGGCTGACAGGTACCTATCCTGTGAGCTGTGACAATGTTTAAAATCAACTGTCAGTCGGACTCAGAGTTTTTGAAGATGGACATAAGAACATTTTTTCTTAAAAAAGACGAAAATTCTCAAGTGGTGGCTCACACAACAACCCCAGAGCCACCACTCGAGCCAGGTAAACAAGGTATGTAAATGTCAGTAAACTTCCAAGTTATGCGAACATGTAAGCAAAGCATAAATTACAGCTACGTTGACGTTACTTTGAATCGCAGGGGTAAGCTAAACCGTTAGCAAGTAGCTATAGCTAGCCAGATATATTAAATAAACACTTTGTCATACAATCTAAATGTAATGTTTTTTAGCGTTACCTGGTGATTTCAAAGAAAGCTCTCTGGGAAATGTTGACTTACTGTTCGACATGAAGCTAGAAGCTACCTTACAGTAAACAGTTGCCAACCCTACCGATTTGGGCGGTAGTCTACCGCTTTTGACATGTTTCTACCGCCTACCGACTTAGCTGACTCTCCCTACCGATTTTCAATCTTCCCAAACTATAACAAATAAAAATGACACTACATAGACACTGGACTCGACTTTTGGCGGACACCGTTTGCAGCATGTCTGTGATCCCATCATACAAACAGTCCTCTGTGTTTCAGTCGATCGCGAGATGTGTCTAAAAATAGAACGACAATATTCTGTTTTATCGTTAATGTCCTATAACCAGTGGCGACTGGTCATTAGGGGCAGGTGGGGCATAGCCCCACCTAGTGTCAGCAGAAAGTATTACAAATAATGATTACAAAAATGCAAAAAAATAAATAAAAAAATATATAAAATATATTTTAAGATCATGTTTAATCATCTGATTCGTCTGTACATTGCTGTTTTAGTCTGTGTTCTTCTAATTAGTGTGTCTACAGTCACAGTGTGTGCCTATTGAGCTGTTTAGAGCCATGTGGGACAAAACCTGATTATGCCCCTTCCTCTCGCTGTGAAGTCAACGGTGACTGTAAAAACTTCACTGCGCATGCTCAGAGTATTTTGTAATGAAATGTGTGTGGCAAAAAAATAATGACCAGAGGGGCATGGAGCTACCATCCCCACCATACGTCATCTCAAATCATTCAAAGCTGATTGGCTGTAAGTACGTGTGCCGCGAAAAGTGTGCTGTGTGAAGAGGAGACGAGAGAGCTGCAGTGACGCGTCCTAAAACCAGGAAGTAAGCACAAAAAAACAATGAGATTTCTCCAGAGGATTTTAGAAAATAGCTCGAAATAAGATCTGTGGGAAACGTACCTGTTAGATAAATGCACGTTTTGTTCAGCCGGATAACATCCACATGTCTACCCTACTTTTATAATTTTTTTATCATAAATCTATGGATTAGATTTATGATAGACTTTTGAAACTACAAGAACATAAGGAGGACTTTTACAAAAAAGTAATAGAAATGTTTGTCCAGAAGGATAGGCAAATGGACTTCATCTTCAAGTCAAGGTAAGACCGCCATTTTATTGAAAATGGGATCTTACTAAGAGAGAACAATTCAATATTTAAATGATAAAATGACATTTTTTGGGTATCCTTTTGTTGAACTGTCTGTTTAAAATTAATCGAAGCATCAGACAAAAAAAGCTTTTGAAAATAATATTATATTTTGGTTTAGGTCAAAATATAATATTTGTAAACCTGAAGAGTCAGTGCCAGTGCCTCACCAGCCATGAACCTCACTGCACATCACTGCACGTCACTGCAGAAGCTTATAGACATCTACGTTTTTTGTGCCCCACCACTTTTGTACATATAAAAACGCCACTGCCTATAACATAATCTTCCTGTGCCAGAATAATGCACTTGAACGCATCAAAGCTTTGTGATTTATCGGGGCGTGGCTGGTAGGCAGTGGGCAGGGCAGTGGGCACTAGTTTGCTGTGCAGTCCGCACACACAAGACCACAATTATGGCAGAAGCAAAAGAGCCCAAAATATATAATTTTCACTCCGAGTGGGGAGGATGATTATTTTTGTATCTATTCCAATTCAAAGTCCATCTGTCTCATCTGCAATGCGAGCGTGGCTTTATCGAAGAAGGGTAATTTAGGAGCGGCATTTCAAAACAGTGCACAAACGCTACGAGACGGAATTCCCTCCTAATTCTGCCCTACGCTCCCAAAGGGTGAGGGACCTGAAAGGACAGCTAAATGCACAGCAGTCAATTTTCACCAGGCCCAACAACAAGAGCAAGGCTGCTACCATAGCGTCTTATCGTGTCAGTCACGTTCTTGCAAAACACATGAAGTCTTTCAAAGACGGCGAAGTTGTGAAAGAAGCATTCCTGGAGGCTGCCGACGCGCTTTTTGGGGACAGTAAAAATAGCAGTAGCATTTCAACAGGTTTTTGATATAATAAAAACTCAAGTTAGATACCGTTATTAATCAGCTGTAAGTTTTAGTTTGTTTGAACTTATTCATTATAATTATTGTACAAAATGGTATAAGAATGCAAACTTTAAGATCTGTTCTGTTTAAATTGATTATAGTCTATTATCAATTCAGGTTAAGAAACTAGTGTTGCTTGCATCCTATTTTAAAGGCATTTCTTTTTATACTCTACTAAAATGCAAAAAAAGAAAAGGGTTTGATTCTATTAATTTTTGTCTTTTTTATTGCACTCTGGCAGCAGATTCCTGTGTAGCTTCAGATCTGAGTTGTCTTATTACTTTTGTAGCAACACTATTTTTATATAATGACAAAGAAAGGGTTCAGTCTTTTCTTTTTTTCCTGTGTCATATGTGGCAGCACTGTTCAATGTTTCTTGAAAACATTACCCACTGTAGTTTGTGACGTGTGAATAAACTCCCAACTCTGTATCAACAACACTGTTGTGTAACTTCAGTTAAATACTTGTGTGTGTGTAGATTAGAAAGAGGTAAGATAAAGGATCTGCAGTATTTTATGAAGTATTAATCGTACAAAGTCAGTTTTATACAAGTAGAAGTGTGTATTTACCTGGTAGTCGGCTGTCAGTAATGGCCGCGCCTCTCTATTTGGACTGGTAGATCTCGGCAGACTGGCCACTTTAAAAGTAGCTCTCGGTTCAAAAAAGGTTGGGCACCCCTGATCTACACTGTCAAGGTTCAAGGTTCAAGGTTCTTTATTGTCAAACTAACATAGCTAATTATGTCGTTGAAAATCTTATGTCACAGGCTTCTCCAACAATGCAACTGAAAGAGGACCAGAAACACATTAAAAATATAATAAAATGTGGAGACTTTGGGATATTTATCTCCCATTCTTTTACTTTTCGGGCATTTTACAGACCAAACATGTCGTTGATGTCACTGTTTACCAAACTACCACTTTTTCTGAAAAATGCATAAAATGATGCAATATATGTTAAATACATGGTTTATACATGTAATTACTGGGGTTCCATTTCTTCTGATTACCTAATTTGGGCGTGCACATTTGCCGCGCGCAAACCTACCTCTTTTGGATTTGGAAAGGTTGGCATGTATGCAGTTGATCCGGAGTCCTGTCAGTTAAAGTGTTTCATAGTTAGCTTAGCTAAGCATCAAC